GCTCCCACCGAGATCTAGCAGCACAAGTGACTGACCACTTGTGCTCTCCCTTCACTTGTGATTAGATGCTCGCTCCCACAGCTTTGGTAGGCCCCCCCCCCCCCTTTTCTCCGCCCTGGGCGGGGTCTCATTCCGACAATGTACATGGCAGTAAGTACATTGCGGTAGAGCCATGGGAGATACACCCGCGGTAAAGCGTTTAGGTTTTGCTGGAGCGTCTGTTCCTCTAGCTCAACGCCTTAGCGCGGCGTTTTGTTGACGCTTTTTTTTTGGTCGGCGAAGACCGGATCTGCACTGCCCGTTGCTTCTGCCTTAAAGGCGATGGCGGTTGGGGCGGTGTAGTATCTTGTTGCATATTACTTTACTTAGTGGTAATTCCATCCATGCTGGCCACCTCGAATCACCCTCTTACAGTATATATTCTTTGTTGTTCGAATCTTAGGTTGGAATGTTTAACCTGACCCAAGTATAGAGATGGTTAAGTCATTTCCGACGATTAGGGTTACGCACCTCGCGCAAGCACCTTTCTCTACGGGGAATATGTCCGCAAGCAGCTTTCTCGGAGTTGGATGGTATTTCATGCCTTGGATTTCTCTACCCTCTGGTATATAAATGGAGAGCAGTTAAGTTTCTTCATGTGGAAGGTCGAAAAACAATAACATCGAACTTCAACCTGGAAAAGGTGAGGGCAATTAGTAAGGGCAGCAGGTACAGACAGTCGCCCAAGTCGTTGATGAAGAAGAAAAATCGTATGGACAACGATAAGATTATTACCATCTGGAGAAGTACGTGTAATATATCAAAAATGTTTAGGTACCATCGGACGGACAAGTAGGAAATCCAGAATTCAAAACAATCAAAGCATAGGAAAGGCAGGCCTGTACGTTGTTCTATACATTCGGGTGCGCTGTGTACGGGGTAAGACGGAATCTCTCTCTCTCTCTCTCTCTGTGTGTGTGTGTGTGCGCGCTCCGCTCTTACAAAACTAACGACCAGAGAAATATAAAAAAAAAACTGGTCGAACCGAACCCGAAAGATAGCTTGAATACATACATTCCTTATCAGGGTGCGTTGTCCTGCACAACGAATGTGCGCGCGGCCTTTTTGGAGGGCCATATATTTGAATGCACACCCCTTGGGGGCTCTCTGCTATTCTGCACACGCCAGACGTTGATTCTTGGCAATCTTATCATTGCTACTATGATCGACAACAGCTTGGCATCTGCAAGATTGATTTATGAATTATGCACGACTACAGCTACAGCCGGGGTGTCGCAGACCGTCTAACGCCCTCTTTTTCTGCTATCCCCCTGAGTCTTTCTTCTCGCCTTCCCGCTCTCTTTGATCTTTATATTTCTGTCGTGTCTATCCCCGTCTCACCTTATGCTCTTCTCCTGCTCGTTCTCCTTCTCTCTCTCCCCCTTGTGTCTGCAGTGCCGTTGACCATAACGAACCTCCTGTGGAAGGCTGTTGTATAATAATAGCATGGTGCTCCTCTGCGCAATACATATTGTGCATCCCCTTTCTTATGCCTCTCTTTGCGACAGTGGCTGTCATAAGCCAGGCAAAATCTGACTTGATTACATAGATCTTGATTGATTGCCTGGTCGGTCGATTGTATGGGTAAAAGAGTAGTTCGTTTGATTACTAAGTTGTGTATGTGGGCTTTTCGGTCTTCAGTGAATTTCATAAGCAGCGGGTGTCTTATCTTATGGGGCATGTGCGTTGTGTGGATGGCCTCAAGCGTGTGCCGAAACAAAGGTGCCCTCATCGAGCTTTGCACCAGTCATCCTGGTTGGACGCTTTCCTTCAGGGCTCCGTTGTGGCTGTCTCTAGAAGCACAGCTGGGTCCTTCGTTATGAGGGACGTCAATCTTTAGGTGCTTCGTGGCAGGGTTGATGGCTGGCACTATTATTATGGTAATCAACATGGGCATGAAAGGGGCATTGTAGGCGGTGCATGGTTAGTGTTCCTTTATTATTTCAACCATCAGTACCTTTCCCTGCTATTTTTCAGAGGCGCACCGGGGGCAAGGTCCCACTGGCACAAAGGGTTAGCTTTAATGCATGAATCTGGACGTTGTCGAGGACAGATGCAGAACAGGGTGATTGATCTGCTCTTCTGCATCTCGGCGAAGGACGTGTCCAGATTCCGGTTGTTAATTCGATCCAACTTTGCTAGTGGGACCGAGCCCCGGGTAACGCGCTGGCCTGGAACGGAAGGGCGGGTCTGCCGATAAATCGAATCGGCGGCCAGTCTTGATTTTCAGGCCGGCGTGCAGTGCCCGCGGCCGACATGTGGGTGGAAAGAGGTACCAGTGGTTTCAGGTAGAGGCATGATTAGTGTTCCTTTGGATAAAAAAATCATTGCCTCCGGAAAGAACAGATGAGGTGGAGGCATTACTACCGTCTTCACCTGAATAGAACGGCCGGTCATTACAGCTGTATTTGGCACAACCTTCGGTCCAGATGTAGCGATAATGACCGGGCATTCTATTTGGGTGAAGACGGTAGTGTTCCTAGAGTAGGGATAGGTCGTCTATAAGCCCGCCCACTATACATTTGCATAGCGGGCCTATTAGTGGCACATCAAGCAGGACCGGGCTGCCAAGGAGAGGGTGAAGCACGTTGTGATTTAGGAGGGTGAGGGGCAGCCACAAGTTGGGGATGGCTTTGAGATGGAAAACCTCAAACTTCAGGAGCTTCACTGCTATAGGCTACTACACGTGGTGATTTAGGAGGGTGAGGGGCAGCCACAAATTGCCGATGGCTTTGAAATGGAAAATCTCAAACTTCAGGAGCTTCACTGCTATAGGCTACTACACAGTATATGCCGTGTATCATCGTTTGCCATGGAGAATCAATGTATTATGTTGCACGGAGGATGCCGCCGAGGGTAGACTAATTGGGGATGATGATGCCCAATTTGGAACGAACTCTCTTGTTGTGTAGCTGTGCTGCCAATTACATGACTTCCCATGGAGACAGGATTTGCCAAACCCTCCTGTCTTAGGTCCTAGCCAGCCTATTGATTGATTGATTGGTATTTTTGACGTTGTTGACATATATCTATGCTGCTTTTTACTTCATTGCGTTGTTGACATAATTGATTGCGTTGTTGGCATACTTGATTTCGTTGTTGGCGTACTTGATTTCGTTGTTGGCATACTTGATTTCGTTGTTGGCATATATCTATGTTGCTTTACTTGATTGGTTGATCGATTGGTGGATAGGTGAAGGTTGGCGGATGTCTGATCTGGGACTTGGATTTGTGGAATAAGGAAGGCCTCCTCTCATTGCGCATTGAGCATGTGGATGTGCATGTGTCTGTGTTTATGTGGCTGTATGATCTGGGACTTGGATTGTGCATGTGTTTGCGGTTATGTGGATGGTGTCTCCTGTGTTTTGTGTGTCTGTAGATGTGGTGGGTACTTGCTGGTGCGTATTGCCGGCATGGCTCTGGCAAAGAGGCCATCCTTAGTCGTCCAGAACGTGGTGCTGCCTCTGTCGGAACTACTAGTAGGTATGTGAATTGGGAATTCACACAAAGTGTTTAAGGAAAAAGAGAATCCGATGAGGGTAAAATCTTTGCTTTGTTTTCTTTTTCTCTGGCCCCTAAATACTACGTAGATCAGTTGTTGGATTTGATTGTGTGTGACCTTTTCTTGCCCCCCTTATTCCACCCGTTCTCCGTTTTGCCTCGTAAAAATCTGATGATGGGAGAACCTGTGTCATTGGTTGTTGATTAACAAGCACATCAGGCGCATTGAGCACACGAGTGGACATTGATCTCCGAGCAGCTCTGGCTACGTGTTACATACTCGTGAAAATGTCAACGAGTATGGGGCAGAACCAAAGATCAACCAATATAGGATGAGCATGTATGCAGCGGAAGTCTGATAACGGATTGACTCACATAGACTGACTCACACAGATATCACTCCACACACATACAATCGTGAGATGGTGGGGTCTGAGCCATACATGGAAGATGGTCAGGCCCCGTACACACATACACAGATGAAAGGTGGGAGGAGAGACGAAGGAGGTGGGGGAGGTAGACAGCACCGAAGGTCACCGAAATAGTATCCGATAGGTCACCGATATGGTAGTCCAGAATGTCATCAAACAAGATCAAAATGTCGAGGACAATAAGTCACCAATGTCGGAGATACAGAGTCCAAATGTAACCGGTGTCCGAACTGTGATGCCGCCGAGTATCAACCCCAACAATCTCCAAGTCTCGAATCCGGTAAGTACCACAGCCTCATACCACCAAAGTCCAACACTGATCTCTGTCCGACTAGTATGAAGTCTCCAATCTGAAGAAGAAGAAGTCTGAAGAAGAAGAAGAAGAAAAAGAGTCGAGGAGGAGAGAGAGAGAGAGGGGACTGGCGATGGGAGGGAGGAGAGAACCTCCGACTCTCGATACCTCAGGCGGCTATGGCCGCCGATCTTGCTCAGTCGCCGCTGCTGCTGCTCTGCTCGCTGCCGTTGCTGCTCCTCGTGCTCCTGCGCTAAGTATAGCGCTAGCGCTCTGGCGCTAACCATAACGCACCGCGTAGAATGCCGGTGGTTCGATCCGGAACTGAGGCTGGACCGGTACTTTTGTACCGGTGGGGCAGAGGCCGGCCTCTATGCTGCGAGGCCTGGCCGTGCCCTGAACCGTCAGGATGGACGGCTCAGCCCCAACCGGCGGGCGGCAGCCTCAAGAGCGCCGCCAGGCCCAAACGGTAATGTCGTTTGGGCCTGCCCGTCGGGTCTGGTCCAAGATGAGGCCTTTACGGCCTGAAGTACCCCAAGGTCGGGCTTTTCGGCCCTACTGTGTCCCTCTGGCCCTAAGTCGGTTCCGGTAGGACCCGTGTGGCGTCGAAGATGTAACACTACATCTGCATGGGATATTGATCCGACTTCTCTTGCTTTCCCAGGGAAAACAGGTGATTCACGTGCTGCCTTGCCTTCTATTGCTTCTGTCCTCTTTATCCATATGACTGGATGTATGTCCCGTCAACCATTGATTAGATTCAGAATGATGGATTCTTTTCACTCGTGTACGGGCATATGCGTATCAGCATTGCTGAATTGATGGAAAGGTATTAGTAGAAATTTGGGCAGTGCAGTGACATGTGTGTGCCCTCACTCAACCAGCACAAATTTTTACTATCATCTAGTTGTTTAAGCATTTGTGATGGAATTGTATTGTCGAAGGGATTCGATCCGAAGGAGTCAATGGATATCTGTGGTATATATATTTATATGCAATATTTTAGTGGCTGGGGCGATTGGTGACAAGCTGGAAGTTCCCCCCATCATCACAAGAAAGGAGAGGACGGGGGCTTCCAGGCCAGCCGTCTTGAGGTTGGAAGTCAGTTTTCTTTTGGCACTTTGGGGCTCTCCAATCAACACAACACGTATGAAATCCATGTGTGTGCAGGTATACGAACCTCTGATGTTGCTGCTCAGCATAATATGGCATTTATATCACCTCCCTCCCACGGGCGTCCAGGCAGAGAGCGGTTGTGAGAAAGCGCGACAAGTGGAGGAAGGAATATATGAGAGGATTCCTGGTGCAGACCATTTATATCACCTCCCTTGACAGTTGATTAGATTGTGTCTTCTCCTGTGTGTGTGTTCTGGTTGTTGTTGCGATTGTTATTACACCTTGGTGTTGTTGCCGTGATTGTTATTTGATGTGATCGTTAAGTTATTGTTCGCACTGTTGTTGCACATGTGATTGCATCTTCTTATGCAGTTTTGTGTCTTGAATTACGATTGCGCTAGAATCGTCTTTTGATCTGTATGGTTATTATGTGTTGTCATTTGAGGTTTATGTCTTTGACATCTGACGTTGATGAGTATTTTTTTTCTACTGTTACCTTTGGAAGGTCGTTCAAGGGATACAATTTTAGAATATAACCGAAGTATAACACTCTTTTTCCGTCAATGTTGATTTTGTAAGTTAAGCTCACCTAAGTTTCAGTTCGAGCCTTTGCGACAGGCTACTGTGTTTGTGATTTGCTTCCCCTGCTACATTGATTGAGACAGTGCTTGTGACTGTACGTTACACACATTCTTTTCATATGTCTTTGCAGCAGGAGTATTTCATTTTATCAACATTTGCTCTGTTGCAAGGAAGATGAGCATTAGCGAACTTCAGCAATCATACAGCATCATACATATGAGTCCAGATAGCCTTGACCTCGAACCACAGCAGAATTGCATCAC